ATTTTAACATATACTTAATTTGTAGATGTAAGAAAACCCTAGAACAGACAGGTACTAGTGTAACATCAGGTAATTTGTCCAACGTGTTTCAGGGCGTTTTGATTGATTGATTGATTTTGTTTAACGCCCAGTCGGCGATCTTTCAGCCATTCAACGGAAAAAAAATGTCCGAACCAAACATGACATCTTAACAAAATTTCCTCTGTAGATGAGGTCTAATTTGAAAAGGGAATTTTTTCTGATCATAACCTTCTGTGAGAAAAAATAGTAATAATGAATGAGTAAGCATCATGTGTCGAACCGTCACGCCTGCCGTGTGGTCCTTGTCATGACCAGACAAGTGGAAAAATCCGTAGACATTTCAGTGTGAGAATAATGGCTTAACAATTTGTATGAAAAAGCTCTGTCAACATTCGGCTTAACGATAGACTGTATTTTCTAACAAGGTCATTGTATCGACTATAGAATTTGCGAAATGTTGACTTTAAACAAGACTGTTTATTTCTTTCTATTTTCAACTTATTTGTCAATAGCTTTCTTCGTTTTAGAAATTCTTTACATTAGAGAATGCCCTTGAGTATCGAATCAACTGGGAGACATAAACTCCATATACAGTTAATAATGGTATATTGCTACACAGATAAAGGTTGTTGGAGATTAAAAGTTGATTCATCACGTTTATCATAAATGTTTGTTGGTACATGTAGGTTACCATAATTTTTTTTACTAGTAAAATATCCAAAAAGAAAACAGATTTGCGCAGACTCTGGGGTGTCTTTTATTTCGAGATCGAATAAACGTAGTAATGAATTTTGTGAAAAGATAAAACGTTGTCGATATATCTAAATGTTAAACTGAAGGCCACAGCAGAAGTTTCTGAATAAATGCTGCATCATACCAAATAAAGGTCTAAAGGCTATAAAGGCTAATAACGGAGTGAAATTAGTTCCCATGGGAATTCAAACAGATTGTCGAAAGAGTTGATCTCTAAAAACTATATGAATATTGTTAGTCAGAAACTCAAGCCTCTTTTTAATATCAGCTTCGGAGTATTTGTGTACAATCATAATGTTTCTCACCCCTTATAATTACAACGATGACTAATTCCCTTATTTACAATATAATTTTATTAAAAGTAATTAATAAAGTACATTTATTGTGTTCTCTGATGATGCTTAATATTAAAGACTTTGTTTCTTCTCAAAAATACAGGTAGACATGAAATTTTAGACAGTTATAATCACTGTAGTATTGAAAGTCACAAAAATGCACGAAATATTAAATATGCGGCTCAAGTAAAACTATTCTTGGAGAATTTTAAGAATTAAGGAAACACAAAAATCTTAATAATTCTTATATATAAATTAGCAAGTAAGTTGTGGTTCATAAATTATAATTATACAGGTGTGTTGTATCAATGAAGAAACCTAATATAACTAAAAAAATTGTTTTCCATTCGAATTCCTGAAGTCCACACAGAAAATATATAAGCGAGATTAAACCGGGTGCTATGGGCTTACTTCAGGTTACGCATGCGAGAGAATGCTAGACAGTTCGCCCCCTTAGACAACTTGCTCTTAGGACAATATGCCCTTTTGAATTAGAACATTCTAATCAATGGCAAACCTCGCCTAAAATCTGCACATCGTATTTATTAATTCAAGAGCGTATCCAAGATCCAAATCTATTCTTTTATACATATATCCTTATATGCACACAAACATTCTATTGAACAAGCATTAAAGGAAGAAAGAATTTAGATTGTTTTATAGCTTGAATTTAACACTTAATTCAACGACGAGGCTTTAAAAGATGGAACAGTTATTCACCGGCTTCGGTTTTGTGAATCTAGACTTTCAAGGGGGGGGGGGGGGGGATCTGACAAGCTTTTATACGGAAAAAAGATCCTCTGCCGGTTCTTAAGGGCGTACGACCATAAATGACCTTCGATTTAAAATAATGTATGTTATACCAGCCAAAATAATATGGAGGTGCACACCTGTATATTACTCTCGTTTTCTATACTAAAGTATATACTGGCAAAGTTATTGGGAATATGGAGCCCCCAGAGCCTACAGCCCTTGTATGAAATGTATTTTTTAACAGAGATGGATTCTCTTTCAAAGAGAACAATACTGCTAAACACTGGACAGTATCTTAAAATCTGGGCTCGAGAAAAACAGTTTTCATATGGGGTATTTGTGATAAATGGATGACCCCATTTTAAGGTCAAGGCTACACACAGTAAACAGTAGGTTACTTGATCAAGTATTGATATCCAGGACGCACTTCTTTCATTCATTATTATAGTTTTAGTAATAGTCTATAACACTAAATTCAAATCATTAAATTTATATGATAAAAGAAATCCTATTTAAACGTATTTTCATTCAAACCAGAATGTTTTTTTTAGATCTCTTTTAGAAACACAGGCTTATGGTCCACGTATTACAGTCCTTTTTGAAGGACGGCAACTTGTTTAGCATTTTTCTTACCTCCTAAACTCAAAAAGAATTTTGTTTAAAAAATTAAACAAAGATACAAAAATGTTCTTATTGATGATACGAACTTTCTTTTTATTTATCCATTAAGACCATTTACCATTCGTTAAGGAATTTTTTTTAAATACAAATATCTTTCCTACACAAAAACGTTTCCTAGTTTAATTATATTTTATAGAGACTGTACTTGGAATAATATGCAGTTATGGAATGGGTACTCGGGAAATAGCAAATTTATGGTTCCCCAAGGGAGGAAACTATTTCCCGAGGCGGCGAAGCCGCCGAGGGATATAGTTTCCTGCCGAGGGGAACCATAAATTTGATATTTCCCGAGTATCCATTTTAAAACTGTTTTATTATACCGAAACAAAGGAGATTTATTAACTAGAGAACTAGAGACTTAGACATTTTTAAAACAATATAGAGGCATTTATATAGATAATCAAAAATGCATGTGATTCCAATTTTGTTAAATATATAATGCATCATTACAGAAAAAAATAAAATTATTTTAAAAAACAATTTCACTGACATTTCGAAGGATTATCGTTGTCTTCGTTTTGCTTAGAAATTCCATCATGATTTTGACATCGCATGTCGAAATGTTTTGACGTCATAGTTACATCGTTAATAACATTACGTCACGGACTCGAGATTCCTTGAACGCTCCGCCCACTGTTCATTTTAATTGGTTGAAATTAATAATAAATATTCATGAGGGAGTAGTCCCAGGAAGTAGCTCTTATTTTTCAGGGAGTAGTCCTCAGATGGGGGAAATAGTATCTTCTCGGGGAAATAGACAGTTTTATAGTACTAATTTTATATAGAGTAATAACAGTAGAGGTATAATAACAGTTTTTATTATACCTCTACTGATATTACTCTATATAAAATTAATACCATAAAACTGTTTATTATACTTCTGTTAAAATGTTTCCTATATAAAGTTAAGAAGGTAAAATTACTATCTTTATACTCTCAAAATTTCCACACATAGCAAAGCTATACCCTGGGGTATAGTTTTTTCTATCCACCCTTAGGAAAGTTTTCATGCAAATTTTGCCGCCAATTTTGATTTCCTGTAATCAATCTATAGACTTGTGATGTCATCCTGACTTCAGTAGCATTGTGACGTCATCAGGATTTCAGCTCATTTTAGCAGTGTTATCTTATTCCAAATACTTGTTCAAAACATTTATAATTTTTTTTTCATGTTTTTACTATCGAACTGTAGTATCAGGTAAATCCAACCCTCAGAAATTATGATACACATCAGTATAATAAAACGCTTATCCACTGGCTGTGAGTGGGATAGCTCTTTCATCAAACCCTTGACAGGAACTATTTCCCTCGGGCAAGCCCTCGGGGAATAGTTCCTGTCAAGGGTTTGATAAAAGAGCTATCCCACTCATAGCCTGTGGATAAGTCTATACTATTTCCCTGAGAAGACACTATTTTCCTTATCTGAGGAAAAATCAGAGCTACTCCCTGGGACTACTCCCTCATGAATATTTATTAATTATTTTAACCAATTAAAATGAACAGTGGGCGGAGCGTTCAAGGGATTTCGAGTTTGTGACGTAGTGTTATTAGAAATGTAACTATGACGTCAAAACATTTCAACATGCGATGTCAAAATCATACTGGAATTCTAACAAAATGAAATCAACGATAATCCTTCGAAATGTCAGTGAAATCATTATATATTATTTAATAATTTTATTTTCCTCGGTATTGATGCATTAGTTATCTTACAATATTTTGAATCACATGCATTTGTGATTATATATTTAAATGCTTCTGTATTGTTTTTAAAAATATATGAGTCTCAGTCTAGTTTAGAAAATCTCCAATGATTGTTTCGGTATAATAAAACAGTTATGGAATGAGTACGCAGGAAATATCAAATTTACGGTTCCCCTCGGCAGGAAACTAATTCCCTCGGCGGCCTCCCTTGGGGATCCATAAATTTGCTACTTCCTCCACACCAATTCCATAACTGTATAATACCTAATCATTTATCACTTACGGCTTACCAACGGCTTATTCTGACTACCATGTACATTTTGATAAATTTTTGTTCGAATGACATATTCCATTGTCCATTTAAGATATTTCCTGATACGAATAAACATCGTAAAAAACAAAACTATTGATACATGAAACATCCGATGGATGTGAAAACGCGTCTATTACAAGAAAACAAAGAAGATTTTATAGAGTGTTTACAATAAAATACCAGAAATATGTGTAGGGAAAGAGAAAGAAGGGTGGAGAAGAGAGGGACTCGCTCTAAATCCCAATACATATGTCTGTATCAAACCGGCAACCAATCAAAATTTAGAATTCAGAAAAAAATACCACACGATACTTTTTCTACGCATTATTTATTTCCTCTCAACGTCTAGTGCACTATAAAATATGAGGTATCCTATCCTACGACACAAATCAGTTCTTCACTTGAAGAAACACGTTAACCACAGAGATGGGAGCTTTATATTTCATATGTTTCATATTTTCAACGCAGATAACAGAAACTTTTGGGCAATTATCTTTATCTTATAACAAAACCTTTGACGAAAATGGTTTGTCGCCCAGTCCCGTATCAGGAAAAGCGTCCAATGTATTACGGGACATTCTGAATCAGGAGAGTCTTGTACGCTTCTCTATGGTACAAAGAATCCAGAGGTTGGTTATGGATGCCATAGACAATAAAAACAATGGACAGATTATAAAGACAAAGCTTCGGGATGTGATTAAAGAGTTACAGGATTTGGAGACAAAAGACCAGAGAATAGAGGCAGAAAACTCTAAACTTAAACAAGAAATGAAGGCTTTGAATGTAACATTAAATAACACAAAATACCTGACAATGGAGGAATTTCGGAATCTTAACGAGACGGGAATATGGAACCTTAGAACACATTTAATAGATAAATTACAAGCTATAGAGAAAAAAGAACAGCGTATAATGGAACAATTCAAATCCTTGAATGAATCAGGAATAAACAACCTTAATGGACAAGCATTAACTCTACAGAAAGAAAACCAGAAATTGACTGTGGAAAGTTCGAAAACTAAAACTCTACTGTCAGTTATTGAAAGAAAAATAGACATTTTGAATAGCTCCTATTCTTCATCTAAAAACGAGATTCAGAAGTTGACTCTTCAAAATGATAAATTATTACGAGGTGATATCAGGAAGCTGAATGAGACATTACTACAAAACTTTTACGAACACATTAAAAAGATAGAGGGCATGTTTACACTTTTCTCCCTCTCTGTAAATGAAACTCTAGATGCAGTTAGTGGGGAACAAAATAAGCAGAATGTACAATGGATACAGATTTCTCCTTACATATATTCGCTTACTGGTAAGTAAATTGCACACAACGTAGGAAATGAAAAGCGATATTTCAATCTGATTTTTGTATTAAGGTGCAAGGCAAACATTTCTTGCTTCATGAATAAATATAGTTTTTACCACAAATAAAAATTAAAAAACTACTGTAATCATATTATAGCTAGCTTCCCAGTTAGAAAAAAAAAACAGTTTCTAAAACATTTAAAAATAGTTTCAAAAACATTTCATACCCCCGCTCAGAAAAAGGGTGCATACTGTTTTACCCTTGTAAGCCTCTCTGTCCATGCAAATTCTCTTAGCAGATGCTTGACATTTTAACCCACTCTTTGTTTTGACATTCCATATGGTGAAATCCGATTTCAACTCATTACTTATTTCATAGTTACATTTGTATATAAATTCAGAAAATGACTACATCTTGATCAGATGGATTTCTATTTGAATTTTCCATATCGTAGTCCTTGAAAAAAGTCTGAGGCCAGAAAAACTCGGTAGTGAAGTTCAGTAAGCCTCATTAATATTTAAAAAACAAACAAAATGAATATCTTATGAATCCTAATGAGTTTGAAGATATTGGTGGAGTATTTTACTCTATATATTCAATAAAATTTGTTCGTAGTCCGCTAATCAACCATCTCAGCCTCTTATATTGTCAAAGATATATGCTGTAAACAGTGAATGAATGTATATATGAAATACTGGTACTATTACAAAATCAAAGATATATTCTGTAGGTTGTGAAATGTATGTTTATATGAACCTTGAAATATCGGTACTCTTATATTACCAGAAATGTATTCTCTAGAAAGTAAAAGGTATGTTTATCTGATATACGAGAATAAATTTAATGTGTTTTCTTAATCAGACCTCACAGAAAACTTTATCAATTGCTTGGACATTTTACGGAAATATTCGAGTCAACAGGGAAGAGATGGGGTTTATAAATTAACAATAGCCTCCAAGACAAAGTTTGTGTACTGTGACATGACAACACAAGGTGGAGGGTGGACGGTAAGATAAACAAGTCACGTGATTTACAAACATAAATAACCATTTTTTTAATTGTAAAGTGATCTGTACTTTTTGCACTGTTTTTTTTTATAACAATTACATTTTTCAATGAAACCTGACGTCCAAGCAAGTCAAAGAGACAACCATCTAAATGTTTCAGGCTATACAAAGAAGACAGGACGGGTTTACAAATTTTTACAGGACGTGGTCAGAATATAAGCGAGGATTTGGGGATCCCTCTAAAAACTACTGGATTGGTAAGTTTAGTTTACGTAACATATAAATTATAAGGTATCTATGTAAATGTAGTGTCGGAATATAACAAGGATTTGGGGATCCCTCTAAAAACTACTGGATTGGTAAGATTAGTTTACGTAACATATAAGTTATAAGGTGTCTATCTAAATGCAGTGTCGGAATATAACAAGGATTTGGGGATCACTCTAAAAAACTACTGGATTGGTAAGTTTAGTTTACGTAACATATAAATTATAAGGTGTCTATCTAAATGTAGTGTCGGAATATAAACAAGGATTTGGGGATCACTCTAAAAAACTACTACATTGGTAAGATTAGTCTATGTAAGCAAAAGGTCAACTAAGTGACTCGGAAGATATAAATATGAGAGCCATCGATGACGATGATGATTTTTCAAAATTGTATGAATATGTCACATTTCTTTGAATAAGCAAATAAAAAGGCAAACTTACAACAATTTACTGGGTTTTTTTTCTTTAAAAAAAGGAAATGACGCAATCTATGAGCTGACAAAGAATAAGGACCAAGAACTACGGGTTGAACTGCAAAGTTTTGATGGTGCTGAAGCATACGCGCACTATTCCACATTTTATGTTGGGGATGAATACAGTAAATACAGACTCACTTTGTCGGGATATTCAGGAACGGCAGGTAAATATATTTATAGAAATATGGAGATAATGAACAGTATTCAAGCTCAAAGTCCATTAATACAATACAAATCAGGAGCAGAGCTAACACGGACCTCCAAAACATAAGATGTGGGATCAGGTGCCATATCGCATGGAGGAGTGAGCATCCCCTTCCGACCGGTCACACCCACCGTGTGCTGCTTTTCATGATCGGGAAATAACGGAAAAATCCGTCGACAATTCAGTTGTAAATAATGGCATCACAATTTGAGTGAAAAACGTCAGTCAGCATATGACTTTAGGATAGATTGTGTTTGCTGACAAGGTCATTGTATCGACCATACAACTTCTAAACGAGACTGTTGATATTCTTGATTCATCACTTGTTCATCAATAACTTACCTCGTTTTAGAAATTGTTTATACGTAGAGCATGGTCTTTCGTATCGAATCTTCTGAGAGAACATACACCTCATATGCAAGTGATAAAGGTTCATTACTGCATAAGTAAGGCTCCATTTTCAGGAATAAGCAGTCATTCTATTTCCATTACGTTTAGGTTTGATATGTTTCTTTTATGTCTAGAAGTTTTACAGCAACCTTTATCTTAATTTCACAGTTTTAAGAACTGCTTCAGTAAAAATCGTTTTAGATTTTGTTCTAATGTATCATATCTGAGTTATTTTCATCCAAGTCGGTATAAAAGTGCATAACACGTATTGATGATTCTAGTTCAACAAAGGCTCGAACAAATTCGTCTTTACAATCCTCCGACAACAATGAATTACCCCAAGTAGATTACAAATTGAATTTTCTTCAATTTCTTTCTGTTTTTTTTCCCATCGTTTCTTTAATCTTAAGCAAGTATTTATAATACAGTGATCAGACAATTCATTTGTTGTATCAATATTAAAATAAATTACCTTGCGAATATATTAGAATCTAACATACAATCCACTGCATAGAGAACATCTTCAATAAGGGTCTATCATGACGCTTTTTCTCTCCGTGTTGGCAATTTTTCCTGATAAGCATTATACTTTAACAATATCAATATCCTGTTTCAGGTGACAGTTTGAAAAATCACAATGGTAGTCACTTTTCCACTAAAGATCAGGATAATGAGAGGAGTAGTCGAAACTGCGCTACACAATATCACGGAGCTTGGTGGTACTGGGACTGTCTCAACTCCAATCTGAACGGAGTGTACGCCCAGTCACCTGTATCTAATTGGAATCACCCGGTGTGGCAGCACTGGAGAAGTAATACAGCGCTACAAAAGACTATGATGATGATCAGACACAAAAACTAAAGTTTTAAAATGCATATCCTGTCCTGACAAGAATGCTGATAATAAATTAAATAGTGTACTAGCTGCCGTTCAGGGGTTTTCTCCCTTGTACAATTTGTGGGTCTCCTAATTCTGCATATTGGACAAAAGAACTTTAAGTCAGGATTAAAATGTATAAAAATTATATTACTGTTTATTGTATCTAATTTGTACAATTTCTTTGAGTATTCCTATCTCTTAATCTCGTAGAACTTTATGAATGGAAATATTATTTCTCTCCCAATTAGAAGTGTGAATAATATATTTCAAATCTGAGTAAAAAAATGGTAGAATTTTATTTTATAGATGATGAGTTTAGAAAAGTATAAATTATTTCCCAAAATATTTGGAGTCCCTTTTCAATATAATATCACACTCAAATAATACGGGAGATTATCTTAATCATCCCATTAATTTTTTTCCCACATAATAACTTAAGTATAATTATTAAAAGTAATTTTTTTTTGTTTGTTTGTTGAATATAGTTCTCGAGAATTTTTTACTCATATGGAGACGCCACCACTTGACAGAGGAGGGCTGCAAATTTATACTAAACTATGCACTGTATACTAAAGTCATACTGGCATTTATTATATACCCAACTGTGTATCACTCAATTTTACTGTTGAATATACGCAATCACGTGACATCGTGATCCGACATTCCATATCACCACTCTCTGAAACTGATGACGTAGTGCACGGTATACATGACTTTTTTTCTTGCGTATCATAAATACCCTTGAAAAAATGCTTTGTTTAATGGATTAAAGATCTTTAATTGCTTACAAAAGTTTTCTGTTATAATATTTGCAAATTGTAGTGGGGTATATAAAAAATTATCATTAAAAGAGTAACTTGATCCGAAGAGTCGTATCATGTCTCGTTGACAGGCGTGGATCATCAGATCAAACACGACGCTTCGTATCCTTCATTGAACCAGGACAACTAATAATGACGTTGTTTGGCATTTGGTAGGAAGTAAGTAAAGACATGTGTCAGTTTTGACGATTATGTGGGGGTGGGGGTGGGGGGTGGGTTGAGTATCAGCATGTAGGTGGGAAGGGCTAGATGTCTGAGTCAATGGGTGGGGGAGGGAAATATGTAGTCGTCTACTAAAAACTCCAAACAGTCGATGGAAATATTACAAAATCTTACAGCAGGGTCAAACTATACTTAATATAGTCATATTAATATTCAACAAAAGCTAACAACTTCACGATAAGGTGTCAAAGTTTCAAGGATAAATCACACAAACAAGAAAATGATATTTTGATGGAAATGACATTACGAGAGTTGTCCGGTAAAATCGTGGACAAGTTATCTAGAGTGAAAAATAATCATCACTGCGCTCTAAAATTTTCACTACTTTTTTGTACATTTTTCATCAATATACATAGCAAATTTCAAATAGATATATGCTCAAATAAACAAAATATGAGACTTTATGTTATGTGTGGTATCGCCTTACGGCGCACGGATTATAACGTCAAAGTGTCTAAAGCAACATCACGTTTCCTCTTTGCTAAAAAAAGTTGGATGAGTCCCACTTAAATTCGGGGATTTTTTTGATGCACATACTTGAGTTTCCCTTTATTCCTCCATAAACATTCGAGGAACTAAACTCGCACACACATGGGACCTTCTGAAGATTTATAAGTAAGTTATGGACAGTACTCTCACTATCATTCAACTAAATAGGCTATGTTATATCGAAGGTCTACAGTGACAGCGTCTTTCGCTATTGCCAGTAGCTGTTTGTCCGTATGTTTTGTTCTACCCGGGGACCCGATCAAAAAGCTTCCGCTTAGAAAACTCCCATTTCACTTGTATACTAAAGATCTAATGATATGTTTATATTTTTTTCTTCTGTAGTCATTTAAAGTTTCTTAGGGCGTCATTAATACATCTAAATCAAACGGAACTGATCTCCGGTGCGCCGTAACGTCATCAAACGTCGCCATTTTTCGTGTGTTGCGTTTACCACTTTCCCATTTCAAGTGCTCGGGAAACTGCCAAAAATTAAGCAATTGCCTTGAAATTTTACAAAAGACGACATAATAGACAGGGGTTAAAAATAGGATTATTTTTACCCCAACCTTGTCCATTTAATACTTTTATTTCGAAATAATACTTGTGTATTCGCTAATGAAACCCTGTTTTTTTTTTATCGTGCGCCGTAGGACCTTACCCCGTGCACATTCAAACATAATAAAATCTTTATTTTTGTCTATATTTTATTAAAAAGAAAGGTGCACTTATTGACCACAAATTAAAGGTCCATTAAACAATACAAATGTGGAGCATAGCAAACACGGACCTCCACATAATCAGAGGTGGGATCAGGTGCCATGGAGGAGTGAGCATCCCCTGCCAACCGGGCACACATGATTTACACCACTTAGCGAATATATTGTTGCACACTAATTTGAATACCTTTAGTTCTTTTTTGTTGCGCACGATGATATCTCTAGGGCGTTCTTCACCATAAGGACCAACTCTATGGGTTCTACCAATCTTTGAATGGTCATATTTGACATCTGTTCCTTGGAAAATTAGTTTGTTTATTACATTAAGTACACATTTATCAGTGTTTTCATTTTCTCAATATATATATATATATATATATATATATATATATATATATATATATATATATATATATATATATATATATATATATATATATATATATATATATATATATATATATATATATGTGTGTGTGTGTGTGTGTGTTAGGGATGGCAATCGATTACAGAATTGCTAATCGGTTAACCGCAAGACGTTCCGACCTATTAACCGGTTAATCGTATCAAAATGCACATTTTCTTGACGTTTGTTTTCAAGTAGCTCTACTCATAGTAAGATGGTAGAAACAATCTGTTTATTTTGATCAGGAAATTACATGAACATACATTTTATTTCAATAGATAAGAAAAAAATAAGAAAACCATGAAACATGCCTGAGAAATCAGACGTTGATCATTTTTAGAGCAGATGTCACACATTCTGCATTGTCGCCATAATCAAAACTAAGTCTGAACTTTTACTTAATATACAATGTTTGTCTAATAAAATAATTTGATAGATATAACTGCAAAAGATAGATATAATGATTCACAGTGCTCAACGGTGATTTATTTAACATCATTAAAGAATTACAGGACAGTCGGGGTAACGACATGTTGTTTTTACAGTAATTAACACTTCACAAACTGACCAATTACCCTGAGATCTCAATCAGTAGAACAATAATTATCTCCAAATCAGCTTAAATAGATAGGTGAAAACCTTAAATTATCAACGTTCATGTAGAAGTTTCATTTTTAAAAATGAATTGTAAGAAAATTGCGTTCAAATTTACATATATTTTATTTTTTCCGACTAACCGATTACAGATTTTCTAACCGATTACCGAGTACTGTGCAACAATATATTCGATAAGTGGTGTAAATCAGATGTGGATACTTAAAAATTCCAGAACTTTTGAAAACTTGAAATTACAAAATTTTACCAATATCAACAACATAAAAACTTACGACTTTTCAACTTTAAAACGAGGCAAGTTATTGACAAATAAGCTGAATACTGTTCGTTATCTCCACATATTTCATTTTATAATACAATACTCGTATCTTCCCGAAAAATAATAAAAGTTCAGTAATTGATGAGCCATACTACAATCAGTATTTAAATGTTGTTAACTTTTACGAGCTGTGGCGTAGCGGTAAAGGTGTCGGCACATAAGAAAAACCAATATCCCGGATTTTTATTATTTATGTTCAAATCTCAAAAAAATCCCTATTTGTTACCATACAGTAATTTTTGCTGAGAAGATTGTGTGCCATTTCTTTCAAAAAGGTGGCTCCCATCAGCCACGTACCTCCGATCACTTGACTCTACACTAATTTAGTGTTTCGGCGGTGTGAAACGAGGCATATTTATATAAATTAATTTTATAATGAAGAAATAATTTTCTTCCTATTGCTGCAAATCCGCCTCATCAGGAGTCTATTTGCATTATGCATTTATGCATCTACACATAAACAATAAGATTATTTAATTGTTGAGGAGGTGAGAATATCACCCAAGTTTTTATTGCGTTTGTAGGACACAATAGGTAATTCAGAGAAGACTTTTTGACAGTCTTCATCCTTTGCAAGCATATGCCAATATTTTATCAGTTTTCTTTTTAAATGTCGTATACAGGGGTTGTACTTTGTGACAAAAACAAGAGGAATTCCTTTTTTCCTGATGTCACTTTTACTTCGCAGGGTTTTTTTCTCTGCTATAATTAGGGAGTACATTTTGCATGTTAGATTTGATTTCAATTTTATCATATCCTCTTTTTAAGAGATTAACCTCAAACTCACGCAGAATTTTAAGCAAGGTGATTTTATTGCTTGTATTTCTCATATGGCGTATTGTTTCACCTTTGATAAATCCTTTAAAAACAGAGGAATTATGTGCACTGTTACGTTCCAAATATTGGAATGTATAAGTTGGTTTATTGTAGGTTTTAAAATCTAGAATTTGACTGGTTTTAAATCTGTTTCCTTTGAACACTGTAGTGTCTAAGAAATCGATTTCTTTTGTAGAAATTTCATATGTGAATTTGAGCAGAGGATGGTGTGAATTAGCTATTTCAAATAGCTCATGGATGTAAGTTTCTAATCCATGAAAAATGATAAATCCGTCGTCGCGATATATTATTTAATTTTTCCCTGTAAATTTATCGATGATTTCATCAGTAATTTGGCGTAGGCGTATGTCGCACACAGATGGGGAACATTTAGAACCCATCGCACATCCTATTGTTTGTTTATATAAAGCTGAGTTGAATTCAAATATATTGTTTTCTATTACAAGTCGTAGAAGAAAACAAAGATCAGTTGTAGGTGGAGCTGGTATGATATATTCTGCTTTGTTGAAGTTTGTATAGGCCATTTGAACAGCCGCAATTAGCTCCTCGAAATGCATATTGGTGTAGAGCGAAGTTACATCATAACTGACCAGTAGGCACTTAGCGTGTGGTCTAAGTTGTTCAACTTTTAGAATGAAGTCTGAACTGTCCCTGATATACGTGCTTAGTGTTTGCACAATGGGAGTAAAAAAGTAATCTACATACTGGCTTATGCGTTCT